TGGGAAGGCTGTACACCAGGAATGTGTCCTGTCTCCGTACCTTTTCAATCTAAATGCAAAACAGATTATCCAGGAGGCTAGGCTCTGTGAGAAGTGTGGCATCAGGATTGGAGGAAGACATCAACTATCTGCGTTATGTAGATGACACAACTTTGCTTGCTTCTTAAGGGTAGGGGATTTGTATTTCCTTTTTTGCTACGTTGTTGTGTACTGTAGAGTCGGAACCAACTCATAGCTGACCCTCCAGTGGATTTTCAGAAATAGTTTCTTACGTAGGAGATTTCCCATTCTTCTCCCGTGTAGTAGCTGGTGGATTTGAACTGCTTGTTTTTGGGATTGTAGTGCAGCTTCTTATCACTAGGCCACATGGCACCGTTATTTACCCCTATGCTGACCATATTTGTCACATGCATATGATACCTGAATGAAAGGTCTTCCTAGAATCTAGTGATAATGTTCTATATTATCCTGGCCCTTGCCCTCTTAGGTCTGAGGTTACTGGTTATTAAAATGATCTTTGTTTTAGTTAAAAGTACCACACAAAATATTACACAAATCTTATCATTTGGAGTTTACAAATGTGTAACCCAAACTTTTATCAAGATATAAGTATTACCCTGGAAAGTTCCTTCATGGCCCTTCTGAGTTAATCCCTTCACTGATTCCCACTTCCTCCTTGCTACTGGGATAGGATGGATAACCTCGGATGTTTTTCAGCATAAATTAGATTTGCTTATTTCAGAAGAACTTTGTATAAATGGAATCATGCTCTATGTTCCCTTTTTATAGAAAGCGTCTTTTATGATGTTACTGTTAAGCATTGTCGAGTCAAAACTGACCATAGTTGACCTTCCAGTAGGTTTTCAGAGGTAATAAATGACATGAGAAAGAGATTGCCTATCTTTTTCCTGCAAAGAAGCTGGTGGATTCAAACTGCATACCTTTGGTTTAGGAGTGCAGCTACTTACTACTAAACCATATTGGTTTGTCCCCTTTTATTGTTGAGTAGTGTTTTGTTGTATGCATATACCACAGTCTTTCTCTATTCTCTTGTTGATAAACATTTCAGTGTCTTCAAATTTTTGGCTGCCATGAATGAAACAACTTTCTTAGGGAAGAATTTTTGAAAATGTGTTTTATTTCTTTTGGGTAAATTGTCTTAAGAGAAGAATTGTGCGTTATTGAGAAGTTATCTATTTCCTATTTTTTATTCTGAAAAAAGAAATATTAGAAAATTTATATCTGAGAGAGAAAATCTCTGAGATAGGTCAGTCTCTGGGAGTGAAGGAAATATAAAAAGACTATGTATTTACTTTTTAAGTTGTTGCTAGTCCTTCTTCCTCCAAAGTGTTTACCTTTCCCATTTGCTAGAGTCTTAATGTATTTAATGTACCTCTTTGTTAATATGATGATTTTAGCTATATTATGGCTTCTGAATGAACTTTGTTTTATGCCCTCTTAAGAAGCGCTTTTGAATGAACTATATGGAGAAGAATGTGATATCACCATTGGAGAAAACACCTCAACAACCTTCCTTATGCAAATAACACAAACTTGCATGATGAAAGTGAAGACTCGAAGCACTTACATGGTCTACAAAAGGTCTTGAAAAAAAAAGGTCTTCAAAATCAGAGTGCAGCCCTCATGGATTGCATGTGAGTGTCTAGAAAACAGAAATCTTTCCAACTGGACCAGTAGACAGCAGCATCGTGATTAATGGAGAAAAGAAGAAAATTTTCAAGGATTTAATTTTACATGAATTCAAAATTAACAGCCATGTAAGCAACAGTAAAAAAAATAAAAAAGCCTTATTATAATGAACAAATCAAATCACCTGCCAAAGATATCTTTAAAGTGATTAAAGAGCAAGGATAACAGTTGAAAAACTAATACAAACCTAACTCAAAGCATGCTCTTTTCAGTTGTTCCGTATGCATGTGAAAGTTGTTCAGTGAATAAGGAAGATCTGAGAAGAATTGATGCCTCTGAATATACCATGGACTGTCAAAAGAAGAATAAAACTGTCTTAGAAGTGAAGTCAGGTGTTCCTTAAAGGGATCAATAGTGAAATTTTCTATCACTTTCTTTTCAGCATGTTATCTGGAAAAGAACATCTTGCTTGGAGAAATAGAGGGTCAGAAAAAGAGAAAGGACCTTCAGCAAAACGGAGTAACATGGTAGCTGCAAGAGTGAGCTTAAGCATGGCTAACATTGTGAGGATGGTGTAGGATTTGACAGTTTCCATATATTGTAAATGTTTTTGTTGTTATATGTCGTCAATTTGACTACAAGTCACAGAGACCCTGTGAACAACAGATCTGAACCTTGCCCTATCCTGTACCATCCTCAGCACATCTGACATGTTTGAGGCCATTGTTAATAGTCACTATGTCAACCCACCATATTCCATTCTATCTCTGACCCTCCACCTTGCCTACTCTGGTATCCTTTTCCAATGACTGACCCTACCTGATAACATTCTCAGAGTATGAGAGAAGACATTTCACTATCCTTGCCTTTGAGGAGCATGTGGGTTATACTTCCTTCAGGACAGACTTTTTTGGTAGTCCATGACATATTCAGTGCTCCTTTCCAGCATCACAATTCAAATGCATCAGTTCTTCTGTCATTTCTATTCTTTGTCCAAGTTCCAGATGCATAAGAAGTAATTAAAAATACCATGCTTTGGATCAGGCACACCTCTCTCTAATCCTTATTCCATATTCTTCTTCATGTAGTCCTTCTTCTTGAATGATTTTCTCAGTGTACAGATTGGATAGGTATGGAGTACGGATGCAACATTGATGCACACCTTTCCTGATTTTTAAACAATGCAGTGTTCCTTTGTTTTGGTTAAACAATAGCTTTTTGGCCTAGAAATAGATTTTGCACAATTAAGTGTTCTAGGAGTCCCTTTCTTCTCAGTGCTGTATATAGCATTATTACTCTAAGTCAGAGTTTTAGATATTGTCATATTTAAAAACAAGAGTTTTTGTAGCTTCTGTCTCAGTCATCAAGACTTGATCCAAGACTGTGCTGTAGTTAAGTAGTAAGTATACTTGTGTTATTGGAGATGATTACTATTTAGGAGCAATTATGTCATACTGAACTTGGAATTAATGAATCTTTGAGACTTTTTCCCCCCAGTTAGTTTCTGAGATCTTTTTCCTGTGCTTTGAAAAACTTCAAAAATCCTAAATGTAGATATTTTTATCTGTTCCTACTATAGTTGCTGAAAGTCAAGTGTACTTGAAACAATTGATGCAGAAGATCAAAGACTGTTGTTGTTAAGTTCCATTGAGTCACTTGCAACTCATAGCGACCCTGTGTACAAGAGCCCTAAATGCTGTTATATCCTGTGCCAACCTAGCCATCTCAAACACACTCATTCCCACCACTCCAGTCACAGAATCCATCCATCTCATCAAGGGTCTTCCTCTTCTGCACCACCCCTTCACTCTGCCAAACATGATGTCCCTCTCCAAGGACCAGTCCCTCCTTGCAACATGCCCAAAGTATGTCAGATGAAGCTTCAGAAACGTTGACTCCAAGGAGCATTCTGGCTTCCCCTTCTCCAGGACAAACCTGTTGTTCTCCTAGCTGTCCATGATATATTCAATACTCGTCTCCAGCACCACAACTCAAAGGCATCAATTCTCTTTCTTTTATCCCTATTCACTGTCCAGCTCTCTGATGCGTAGCACATAGTTGCAAAGACTATAGCCTGGATCAGGGTCAAAAACTACCGCCTTTAATATGAATTCTCTCTCAGCATCACCTAAACAGAATTCCTCAACACTAGACTAGTAGGCAGCATCATGATGCAGAAAAAATGAAAGTTGTCAATGAATTAATTTTACTTGAATCCACATGCAACACCTGTGGTAAAAGCAATCAAAGAATATAGTGCATTGGGAATTATCTGCTGTCAGCAGCCACTCAAGTGCTAAAACATAATGATGCCAATTTAAACAGTAACGTGTGCCTCATTAAGCCATGGTATTTTTCATTGCTTTGTGTACGTTTGAAAGCTGGGGGAAAATGAATGGCTTTGAGTTGTGGTATTCAAGAAGAGTACTGAATATTCCCATGGACTGCTAAAGGGACAAACAAGTCTATCTTGGAGAAAGTAAAAATGGCATGCTCCTTATTCTGTCTCTCATATGTTGGGGATCTTGTTAGGAGAAGATAATCTTTGGAATAGGACATCAGAGGTGGAGGTTCTTGGGAAAGATGAAGATCCCCGACAAGATGCATCGACACAGGGACTGTAACCATGACCTCAAGCATTTCAGAGAATAGTGAGGGTGAACGGGATAGGTAATGGTTCAGATCTGTTGTTCATAAGATCTCATTGAGTCATAGTCAACTTTATGATGCCAAACAACAAAAACAACCTTTTTATGTGTTTGGTTTCAGAAAACATATAATCTTGAATCTCACCATTTGAATTGGCCATCTGTTCTAATTATGTATTATCTACAGATTTGATGAATGCTATTGTAGATCTTATTCAGAGTACTTTGATGACATAAGTCTGTAGAGAGTTGTGATGCTAACCCGCAAGTGGCTTCTCTCTTGCGATTTGAATGGCCAGTCTTCTTCTGTATGGCTTTTGCCTCTGATAATCCACTGGAGGGTCAGCTATGAGTTGGTACTATGGCACACTACTGGAGACCTCTCTCTAGACTCTATGAGCAGTACAGAGCATTTAACTCGTCAACTTGTAAAATTATCTACCTCACATTTTCCCTTTTTCACCCTACTATCATTTAAGCTTCGTAAACACACACACACACATATATGTGTATGTGAGACATTTAGAACAGATCTTGAGGTATAGTTGGTGCTCAGAGAATGTTTTTGACTGACTGACTGATACAGATATGCATATAGATATGAGGATTGAGTTGGATGCCTTACTAAAGCAGCTTAAATTGTTTTCCAAGAATTAACTTTTATTGCAAAATGAGTCAACACGGTTTTTGGGTTTCTTGCAGAAAAGGAAGTGAATGAGCTGATGGAAGAGCTATTTGAAACGGTGAGTAGTGAACTTTAGGAGAAAATACTCCATAGTAAAAGCATGTTTTTCAACAGGCTCTGTCCTTTGGCTTGTGAGATTGTTCCTGTAGAGGGTGATCTCAATAAACTGCCCTTTTGGTACACCAGGAATAATTACAGCAATAGCAGAGTATTTGCAAACTAGGAAATGTCCACATATAAATTATTAGTCAAATTCCCTTGGAAACTTTGGATTACATCCCCAAATACCATTTAGTGTGTAATTAAAGATCACAGACTTCTTTTAGACTATTTCTGGAAAGTCTGTCTCTTTTCAGAAGATAGTTTTGTACAGGAGATTGGTCATTTTGAGTTAGCTATTGTACTGCTAGCTCATTGGTAGGCTGCTCAAATTCAGTGGGTGCTATATGGGAGAAAGATAGGCAGTCTCCTCCTGTGTAATTCAACATGTCTGAAAACCCATTGGAGGGTCAGCGATGAATTGGTTCTAATTTAATGACACATAACAAAAACGTGTTTAATCTTTACTATTTACAAAATTGTCTTACAGAGATTTTTCTTCCCCCTGGCATGGTCATCCTGTGTGGGCTTTGGGGAAGCCCAAATTGACAGCAGTTTTATTATAAGTTCTTTCTGGGTACCAGCATTCTTAAAGTGTTATCATCTGTGGTTTTACTTTTTCTTCTCGCCACTGGAGTGACTTTCATAAGTGTGCTCTCCAGGATAACCTTTTTCCGCTCCCCTTTGCTCTCAGTTCCAAGATGAGATGGGATTCTCCAAAGTGGAAGATGACAGCCAGGAGGAGAAGGATCGTGTGGTTGAGTCTCGGCCTAACTTTAATACTCCTCAAGTCCTTCGGTAGGGTGGTCAAAACCCTTGAGACAGAATGGAGGAAATGTGTGTTTCTGGGAAGATTTTCATAAATTGTAGTGGCAATTTTCCATCTTCAAGGAGCAGTTGTTACTGATAGAAGGGTACAGAGCCCTGTGGGGAAGTGGATGTCAAATGAACAAGTCTCCTTGCTATGGGGCAGTGCAGCTATAGACCCAGCTGTATCTGTTTGGGAAGGGAGAAAAAACAGTAGCTGGTATTCATAGCAACTTCTTCAGGAGAGTGGTTCTGGAGATGTGTGCAAAACATGGTGGCCAGCCACAGAAATATCCTGAGTTGTACTATCTAATATGTCCCTTTAGTTCTCCTTGTTTGCCATTAACATCTGGTAAATGTTTTTGAAGATTTTCAGTCCCCTGTTCATTTAATTGATCAAATCATGAACAACACATTGTAATACTCTGATGTCTTAAATATATTTGATCTTAGAAAGTTACCCTTTTTATGGCTGCATTGAGAAGGGAAAGACTTGCATTTATTCTTCTATTTTGGTAATATATTTGTATAACTCCATTGAATTTAAATTGTTATCCATTGTTGCAGTTTATCATAGTTGATGCTTGTCAAGGGTAGAGGGAACAATACAGTGTGTGCCAGTGGTGGAGTTCACATTCTTTCTTAGTCTTGTGTTTTAACTAATTAGATTACTTAACTAGAGATCTTGTTATTCATTCCAAAACTAGGCCTTCAGGGACCTTACAGTTTAGTAAAAAAGATGGAATAAGCTAACATTGTGTAAAAATCTGAAATAGCCACACTCCTTTGCAACAAATACCAAAATGCAATTACTAAAGAAATCTTGAGACTTTTAAATGTCAGTAGTTGACACACCTATTTCAAGCCATACTACATAGAACAAAATTCTGTTGAAGTACAAAGGGATCCATTTCTTCTGGGAATTTATTATAAATGGGATTTAATCTTCAAACATATTTTACTTCAACATTTTTCAGTTTGGAAATTATATGGATACTGTAGCATCCTTTTTCAAATTAATTTTGCTCCTATTTATGGACTTGTGCTGCTGCTTTTTGAATTGGAAATGCAGACATGATTTAATTTTGAGTATTCAAAACACTGTGAAGGAAGATAAGTCATCTGTCATCCTCTTATGTGTGCTCCTCACTAACTGTCCTCTTGAAATTGTTGCAGGCCTATTTTATTATCAAAAGAGCAATGTTCTGGTCTTTCCCCCCTCAGCTGTAGTTCTGATATCAGTAGTTTACAGTGATAGTAATACAGAGGATAGCCCCTTAATATGTTGTTTTGTTGTTATGTGCTGTTGAGTCATCTGTGACCCAGCCCTTATGTACAGCAGCTCCGAAGCATGCTCTGTCCTGAGTCAGTCTCACTGAGTCTCACACACCCACCGCCGATGCCCTAGCTACTCTATCAATGTAATCTTGTCCAGGGTCTTCCTCCACTGCACTCTCCCCCTACCCTTTCAAGCATGATGTCCTTTTCCATGGATCAATCTCTCCTGGCCACGTGCCCAAAGTATATGAGACGGAGCTTCAAAATCCTGGCCTCTGAGGAAAAACTTGGTTTTACCCTCCTCAGGACAGACCTTTCTTTACTTGATGGCCTGTAGTATGTTCAAGATTATTCTCCAGCACTACAACCCAAAGGCATTGATTCTTCTGTCATCTTTAGTCATTGTCCACCTCACTGATGCATAGCAAGTAATTGTGAAGACCACAGCCTGGATTAGGCACACCTTAGTTTCTAGACTGACATCGTTGCTTCTCAGTACACTGGAGAGATCCCTGACAGCATATTTTCCCAGTGTAGTTAGTTTTTTGATATATCTAAGTTTTTACTCTATACTCCCTCAATTTTCATTAAATAGATGGAAATATAATTTTCATCCCCAGAACCTCTTGAGAAAAGTTACTGTCATTTAACTGTTGCTACAGTATAGGAAACCCATTAAAATTGAGTAGATTCTGAGTCATAGTAAACTTTCGTCAGGTTTTCAAAGCTGTAAATCTTTGCAGGAGGATATTGCCCATTCAATGTAAGGATATATTACTTTCCTGGAGCATCTGGTGGATTGAAACAGCTCATTTGATTAGGTGCCTAACACATAAAGAACTGCACTGAACCTGGATATCACAATAGGTTGGGACATTGTCTTCTAACTAGAAGATCATTAGTTTAAACCCAGCAGCTGCTCTTTGGAAGAAAAATAATGAGTTTCTTCTTGTTAAGATTTATAGCTGTGGAAACCCAGTGGAAGTCTGCCATGAGTCTGTGCTGACTGAGTAGTGCTGGATGCAATACTGGAGATTACTTGAAGCAGGGAAACCTCCTTCTCGTAACTCTTGTTAAACCTCAACTTTGTTAAATCACTTCAGTGTTTTGTTCTACCTTTACCTTAGGACTAGCGTTTGAGATATTTGGATTCTTTCTTCAGCCTTAGGAACATTCTCTTTTGGGGAAAAGACTGGAAAGGATAAGATCAAGAAAGTCAGGGGAGTGAGTCACAGAGGTAAAAGAAAATATTTTCATGTGCTTGTTAGGTGCTGTCAGATCAAGCACGATTCGTAGCAACCAAGAATAGATCTGAACTTTGTCTTATCCTGTACCATCATCCTAATAATTTGTATTTGTGAGCCCATAGCTGCCGTCATTGTGTCAGTCCCTCTCATTGTGGGACTTCACCTCTGTATTTTCATGCTGAGTAGTGAGGAGATATTTGAATTAATTTCTGAGTTCTGTTCATCTAAACTATGTATTTTAGTATACTTCCTTCTTGTTTCATACTAAATTTGTTTGCTTTTTAAAGAAAGAATGGTTGAGTGACTTGAATGGATAGGGAGGTAGGGGAAAAAAACCTAGGCCTAGTGTGGGATTAATAGGTAAATTAAAAAAATTTGTTACTTTCAGAACATTCTATGGCATGATTAAGAATAAGCTCTTCCTTAATGTGGATACAGTATGATGCAAGAATGAAAAATTGATGCTTGCTCTGTGGTGTTTCTTATCCATGTCTGCTCCTAGATGTTAATTTCTCTATTTTTCTACTATTTAAGATTTTTGATAGGGTTCTCTGGTGGTGTAGCAGTAAGAAGCTGCACTACAATCCCAAAGGCATGCAGTTCCAATCCACCAGTTACTCTGCAGGAGAAGAGTGGAACATTCTCCTCCTGTGTGATCTACTGACTGACAACCCTCTGGAGAGTCAGTTAAGGGTTGCTTCCAACTCAGTGGCATACAGCATCATAGAACTGGGTAGTGAGCTCTGGTGATTTAATGATAAGGAATTATGCTGCCAGTGCAAAGGAATGTGGTTAGAATCCAAGCTTTGGAAGGATATTTAGAGAAGTCTAAAATTCTACTGCTAGCTGCAGGTGAAATTTGTTTTAAAAGTTGTTGTTGAAGATTATTTAAGCCTTCTCCTGCATTAGCAGGAATAAATTGTGTTTAGAAGCAGGAGAATGTTTGTATTCACTCATCTCCCTATTGTGGGTAGGTTTGAAGAACCACTGGCTAACTTGCTAAATGAACAACATCGTACAGTAAAGGAGTTACTTGAACAGGTGAAGATGAAGAAATCTTCAGCTAGACAGCAGCAGGAGGTAGAGAGGGTTAAACCCAAAAGTGAAAAAGTTCCTCAGACTCTGGTTCTAGACCTGGCACAAAGGAAGAGACTCCAACAGCAGATGCAGCAGGTAAGATTCTTGATAATATTGGATCATTCCATAGCCTGATTCTGTGCCCCAAATTAGTACTCTCTTTAAAAAATTTTTAAAGAATATGTTTTAATAATCATTGGGACCATAGACCAAAGAATCTTCACAGAAATTGGCACCATAAGAGTTCATTATGTCATCCTGGCATTGAATTGTATTTTTCACTGCCATAAGTAATACTTTGCTCTGCATAGTTTCTGCCCCTATAGTTTCAGGTTAACTTTCCTTTGATTCTATTCTTTTGCCTAGAGGAATCTAATTTGAGAAACTCTGGTAAGTTAACTGTGTGTTACTCTTAGTCATTCCAGAAAGGAAAATATGTATGATAAAGTTGCAGATGTTTTTGATCTTTCTCTGTTCTTGAAATAGCGCTATTTTAATGTCACTGTATTATTTTCTCTCTCTTGCCAGCATGTTCAGCTCTTGACGCAAGTTCACCTTCTCGCCAGCTCCAACCCTAATCTCAGTTCAGAGGCCAGTACCACGAGAGTATTTCTTGTAAGGATCTAAAGATACCTAATTCTAATAATTTGGATATAAAATTAGTGTGGCGAGTTACTTCTCAAGGTTACTCATGATAATCTACTTTTATTCTTTATTTGTGAATGTATTTGGAGGCTATGTCAGTCTTTCGGTGTGGTTTCCTATGTTTGCTAATAGAAGATAAGCCATTTATTCTGATGAAGAAGCAGACAGTGTATTCAGCTTTCTTAACACTGTCCCTTTCTTTGACTTTTTAAAAATTGGATCTTGACTTCCTCTTTAGATCTGTTCTGAGTTCTTAATTTTTCATACTACTATTCTTTTTATATGTTGAACTTATTGTTCGTCCATTCAGGTTAAGAGAGCCTAGTAAGTAAAGAGTTCTGTTCCTGAAAGTTGTTGTTGTTATGTGTCATTGAGTTGACTCTTAACTCCTAGTGACTCTGTACAGCAGCTCGGAACCCTGTTCTATCTTGAGCCAATTTCATTGTCTCTGATACACCTAACAACTGAGCATCAGGAAAAACATGAGCGTTCTCCTCTTATGCAGTAATTACAGCCTCTGACACCTACTGCTCTATTCTGACTCACATGCACATAATAGCAACAATGGCATTAAAATTCGTACCAGTATTTTGTGTATAGAATTAATTTTGCTCTTCATAGCTTGAATTATTTTGCTTTAAATGGGTATTTTTTAAAAAATTATGAAGTATGAAGAGCTATAAAAATTGGCTTTAGAATTTGTGGCAGATGATTATAATCCATAATTTTTGGTTAATTTACTTTAGAGTCTGAGTAGTTTACTTATCATTAATTCAAGATTCCTTGGTGGTAGAGTATTTTCACCTTCTCTTGTGTTTAGGAGGTTACGAAGTTTGCTTTATTCTAGATGTCAGAGAATCCCAAAGACTAGGGGAGGAGGGCTGTGCTAGATCATTCACCCAACACGCTAAGGAATACTCAATTTATCAATCAAACTTCAAAGAGTGAATGAAGAATCCAGACTAGAAGTATGGGAAAGCAAAATATTGAATTTTAACCTTAATGGAATCAAAATTTTCTGGGGCCATGGAAGCTGAGTAAACTCTGGAAACTATTGTCCTGAAAAGAATTTTAAACCTTGAATATAACAGGTATATCTTCTCAAAAAGTTTTAAAACCGAACAAGTTTAGCTTAAGTCATAAAGAATGTCTGCCTTGAGCATTTGTTTTTTTACAGTATATTTATATGAGATCAGATAAACAATAGCAACTCCAAGGATTAGATAGAAATTCTTTTTTTTTAAAAAAAATATTTTATTATTTTTTGTGTGTGTGTACCATCAAATTGGATCTGATTGGTACTGGAGGAGATTGCCTCTCCTTCTCCAGCAGAGCATCTGGTGGGTTTGAACTGTGTAGAAATTATTTATTCTTTTGAACTGTGTAGAAATTCTTAGAGACTGTGAATTTTATAGTATTGAGGAGAAATAATTCAGAAAAGTAGAGAGAATGAGGAAAGAGTTACAGTCAGTGTCACTGGTTTGTAGAAATAGTAATTGCTGAATTGGCATGTTTTCTGTATATATTGTCACAAAAATCCCATAATGAGTAGGTGTCATAAGCCATCTCTGAATATCTGAGGACTTGGCAAAAGAGCAGTCTTAATTGTGAAATACTGTATGATATTTTTACCTGTTTTTGTTCACTAACAGGACAGTTTCTTACTCATGCGTCCTTTGTGTCTTGTTTTTCCCAGAAAGAGCTGGGAACCTTTGCTCAAAGCTCAATCGCCCTTCACCATCAGTTCAACCCCAAATTTCAGACCTTATTTCAACCGTGTAACCTGATGGGAGCTATGCAGCTTATTGAAGACTTCAGTGCACATGTCAGCATTGACTGGAGCCCTCGAAAAACTGTCAAGAAGCCTGGTAGGGGACAGATGTGTCAACTTGAAGTTTTTATTTATAGTGAGAGGTGAAAGTTTAACCTAAATAATTTCTTAGGAATGGAAGAACCAAGCAGGATATTTGCACTTTCACCTTTATATCTTCTATCTTACCTTTTTATACATTGTCTGAGTTCTAGATTTACAAAACAATATTTGCATTTATGTAAGGGGCTAGGGTAGTGATCATCAATCAGGTCAGTTATGTGAGTATAGGCACAGGACCAACACATAAAATTGGGTAGATAGATCATAAATATAAGTATTAGGACTTAGATCAAGATGAACTTGTTGTTAGGTTCTGTCGAGTTGAGTACGATGTATACTGACCCTATGAACAAAAGATCTGAATTATATTCTGTCCTGTGCTATCCTTACACTTCCTGGTACACAAGAGCCCATTGCAGAGTCACCATGTCAGTCCACTTGGTCGAGGGTCTTCCTCTGCTTTGCTGACCCTCCACCCTTCCCAGTATCATGTCCTTCTCCAAGGAATAACCCCTCCTAGCAACATGCCCAAAGTAAGTGAGGCGAAGCCTCATCTTTCTTACCTCCAAACAGCACTCTGGCTCCACTCCCTCCAAAGGCATAGCTGTTTGTTCTCTTGACCGTTCATGGGATATTCAGTGCTCTTCTCCAACACTTCTCTACAGCTCAAGGGTATCAGTTCTTCTGTCATCCTTATTCATTGTCCAGCTCTCAGATGCATTGCAAGTAAGAAATATCCTGGCCTGAATCAGACACGCCTAAGTCCTCAAACTGATATCATTACTCTTCGGTAATTTGGAGAGGTCCCTAACTGCAGACTTTCCCAGTGCAGTGCATCTGTTTATTTCCTGACTGCTGGTACCAAGGGTGTTAACTGTAGATCCAAGCAAGATGAAGCTGTTGAGAGTTTAGTCTCTTCTTCATCTATCATGACTCTGCCTGTCGGTCTGGAGGTAAGAATCATCGTCTTCTTGACATTGAGATGCAATCCATACCAGAGGCTGCATTCTTTGATCTTCTACAACGAGTGCTTCAAATCCTCCTCACAAGATGAACTAGGGTATGGTAAAAAGAGAACTCAGATGGTAAAACACTTTGTCAATATCTGTACTTCTTTTCTTTTAGCCATTTTGAATGACATGTGGTTTTGACAGTTAGGCACACATTAGTGATGTTGTACCTTTATCTTGTTCAGTGTTGTAGTTCAGTTTTGCTTCTATCTTGTATTGCTTTAGTATTTTTATTTTTAGATTAATTTTTTTAATTGTTATTTTAACAAAAGTTTACAGAAAACTTGGATTTCCATTCATTGTTTGTTGTACATTTTCCTCCTTACCCACCCCCCTAGTTTGCTTTTCTGTTTGAAAAAAAATTCTTTCAGTGTTGCACAGTTTCCTACCCCCACCCGCTAGTCCACTTTGCTATGCATCTCTTATTCTGGACTGTTGTTATGCAGATAATACCTAATCATACATTCCTTTTAAACAGTTCTTTCCCTCATCTGTTTCAATGCAGTATGCATTATTTATCACCCAACTCCCATGTCAGTCCTGTTTTATAACAGTGCCATTATGCAATATTTGTCCATTTGTGACTCAGATATTTCACTCAGCATAGTGTCCTCCAGGGTCACCCATTTGTATATTTCATGAGTTCATTGTTTTTTCAATTTTTTATAGTATTCCATTATGTGAATATAACCATAGCTTCTCTATCCATACATTTGTTGATGGGCACTTGGATTGTTTCCATCTCTTTCCTATTGTGAACAATGAATCTGTTTGTGTGACAGTTCAGATTTCTTTAGGATATATTCCCAGTAGTGGAATTGCTGGGTCAAATGGTATTTCTATTTCCAATTTTTTTAGAAAGTGCCATACTGCCTTCCATAGTGGTTGCACCATGTTACATTCCCACCAACAGTGAATAAGGGTTCCCGTTTCTCTACAAACCTCATCAGTATTTTTTTGTTTGCAGCTTTAGTATTTTTTGAGAAAAATTTTAATTGTTATTCTCATAAACTAGATATTTGTTTTTTATTTGTTTCCTGGCTTAGTAAAATAAGTTGAGATTTTTACTATATGTTTAATGGCCATTTATTTGGATTTTGTTTTAATCCCCTGACTCTCTGCTGGTGCTGAACTGCTAACTAAAGGACCAGTGACTTGATGGCATAGCTGCTCCACTGGGGGAAGGTCTGGGAGATTGCTTCTTTAAAAACTACAGCCTTGGAAACCCTAGGGGCCAGTTCTGCTCTATCCTATACAGTCACTCTGAGTCGGAATCACCTTGATAACAACTGGCCTGTTAGGATTTCAGACTTTTTTTCTAATTAAATGCAAGCGTGTTCTGTAATAGATACTCATCTCAAATTATTTTAATATCTTCATTTTGATAATGAAAACTTAGTTTACTAACATCAAACCTTAGTGACAACTTAAATATTTATTTGTCCTTTGGTTTTCCCCTGGGAATGACAAATGAAAACAAACCTCTCTGGAGGTAGAGAGCTAGAGGCAGCAGTGTGTGCCTCTGGAATGCAGGGTTCCCTGGAAATGACAGGCTAAGGCAGGGAGACAGAAGAGGATGCACTCAATTGTCTCATTCCTTTTATGGCTATTTTTTCCTAGACTCAGGAAGAATCTGAGGAATTTATTGACAGTTAGGTAAGAATAAAATAAAGTAAAATTTGTAATACCAGATATGTAAGGGGGAATAAGAAGGCAGAATCTGAAAGAAACAAAACATTGTTGATCATTTATTCTTCAAGAGGTTTTTGGGGATATATTAAAGACTTTAAAGGGTGAAGGAAGTAAAGGGGTTTTTTAGCATGTAGTGGATGTACATATATGAAATACTTTGTAAGTATTTATGATATTAATGAATATGTTAAGTATTCCACTGGAATTCCATTGGAAAGATGTAAAATCACTGACATTCAATGAGACTCCCTTTCTGGATGTTTTAGGTTGAGAAAGACTGGAAATCTTTTATGGGGAGGAATAGTAGCAAGGAACCATGTTATAGTATTTCTAACTGAATGCAAAAACTCGAGAAACTTTTTAAAATCCTCTTTTGTTCTAGAATTATATTTATCATAGACTATTTTCTTAACAGCTTATGAATTTCCATGTTTGCCAAAACAAGTGGCTTGGATCCTGGCAACAAGCAAAGTTTTCATGTATCCAGAGCTGCTTCCATTATGTTCCCTGCAGGCAAAGGAACCTGAGGATAAGAGCTTCTTCACCAAGGCAGAGGACAAGTAGGTCTACAGTGGTGGGGTGTGGGGGAGAAGCGCAAAATATTTCTGGGATAAAGAGTTTATTTTGAAGGGTTTGAGGAGAAATACTCTTCAAGTTGCAGCTGACTCACAGGTGTTTCAGTAGATTTTCAGAGACACTAAATTGAATGGCAGGAGATTTCCCATTTCAACTAGATGACCAGAGCTAGGAAAGCCAAATGGTGCTCTTTTTTGGGATGACACATTGTTTTGAAACATTTTATTTTTTGTTTTCTATCTTAGTGTAAAACTGATCTCACACTGTTATAAAAAATTTTCTATTTTTTAAAATTTTGCCTATTGTCTTACCATAATACAATGACTGTTTTTTTACATAATTCTGATAAATCTTTGTATTTTTCATATAATTTTGTCAGGTTAAGTAAACTTTTCTTCTTTGCCCCATACCCCCTAGCTTAACATATTATTGGGATAGTTTTTCTATCCTGTAACATTATTCCTGTTTTTGGCTATACTGACTTCTAAAGTAATATCTAATGACCTTATTGTATTCTTTTTATTACCCATGTGTTTTTTGTTTTGTTCTGTAAGTGATGCTTCAAGCCTTTTTTTCTATAGAGGTTTTATATTGTTGTTGTTAAGTGCTGTCGAGTCGTAGGCAACTCATAGTGACCCTATGAACGGAAGACCTGGACACTTCTATAACTTTCGTCCTTTCTCCAGGTTCATATGTAGAGGTTTTATATGCTGTTGTTGTTGTTATGTGCCGTTGAGTCACTTGTGACTCATAGTGACCCTATGTACAACAGCCCTAAACTCTGCTCTGTCCTGTGCCAATTGCACTGTTTCCGATTCACCCATCCCGATTACCCCAGTCACTGACTCAATCCACCTCAGAGGGCCTTCCTCTCCTGCGCTGTCCCTCCATCCTACCAAGCATGATGTCCCTCCCCAAGGACTGGCCCCTCCTTACAACATGTGCAAAGTATGTTAGATGAAGGCTCAAAATCCTTGCCTCCAAGGATTTAGCTGGTTTAACCCTCTCCAGGATGAATCTGTTTTCTTATCCATGGTACCCTTAATACTCTTCTCCAGCACCACAGCTCAAAGGCATCAATTCTCCTTCTATCCTCCTTAAGTCACTATCCAACTCTCTGATGCATAACAAGTGATAGCAAAGACCATGGCCTGTATCAGATGCACCTTAGTCTCCAGAGAGACACCATTGCTCTTCAGAACTTTGGAAAGGTCCCAAACAGCAGACTTTCCTATCACAATACGTCTTTTAATTTCCTGGCTACTGGTGCCAAGAGTGTTGACTGTGAAGCCAAGCAAACTAAAGCTGTGAAACAATGTCAATCTCTTCACCATCAATCCTGAAGCTGCCAAATACTCATATGCAAATTCAAGCTGAGCTGAGGAAAATAAAACCGGATCCACAGGAACCAAAATATAACTTTTAAGTCTATCCCACTTGAATTTCAGAACCATTTCAGGAACAGGTTTGAGGCCTTGAACACTAATGAGCTAAGACCAGATGAGTTGTGGGAGGATATCAAGGGTATCATCCAGGAAGAGTGCAAATGGTCATTGTAAAAACTGAAGAGGAAGAAAAGACCAAAATGGATGTCAGAAGAGACTCTGAATATTGCACTGGAGTATAGAGAAGCCAAAGCAGAAGGAAGAATTCAAGATACTGAAGAGTTGAATAGAAGATTTCAAAAGGCAGCGTGGGATGACAAAGTAAGATATTACAGTGAAATGGGCAGGGAGTTGGAATCAGAAAATCAAAGAGGCCTAACTCGCTCAGCATTTCTTAAGCCCAAGGAGCTAAAGAACAAATTCTAACCTCGAATTGCTATAATCAAGGATGCTTTAGGCAGAGTATTAAACAGTCCAGGAAGTATTAAAAGAAGATGGAAAGAATATACTGAGTCACTGTATCAAAAGGAATTGGCAGACACAGAAGAATTTCATGAAACAACATATGAACAAGAGCCTATGGTGATGAAGAAGTTCAGGCTGCTTTGAAGGAAATAGCAAAAAATAAGGCCCAAGGAATAGATGGTACACCAGTTGACATATTTCAGCTAACAGTTGCTACCCTGGGTGTGCTCACCAGGTTGTGCCAAGAAATCTGGAGAACAACCACTTGGCCAACTGACTGGAAGAGATTTATATTTGTTCTCATTCCAAAGAAAGGTGACCCAATAGAGTGTGGAAACTATAGAACAATATCATTGATTTCACATGTGAGCAAGATTCTACTGAAGATTATCTAAAAACGACTGGAACAGCACATCAGCAGATAACTGCCAGAAGTCCAGGCTGGGTTTAGAAGGGGTCGTGGTACTAGGGGCATTGTAGCTGATGTTAGATGGATCTTAGCTGAAAGCAGAGAATA